CTTTTTTTCTTTTTTTTTTTATGAAAAAATTGTAATGCAACATATGTTAATTCTGTCAACTGCCATCGGTTTATTCATCTGCCAAAAAGTTTCTTTCTTTACTTAGGATCTCTCTGAATTTCTTTCTCTAGTCTGGAGATGCAGGGAAGATGTTAATCAGCAGCAATAACAAATCTTCACAAAGCGCTTCAACGAACTTGGTGAAAACTGCAGAAACTTATTCTGTTGCTGATCTACGAGAAGAAGGTAGTGACCCAGCCCAATCAGATGTTCATGTTCTGGTGGCTGACCAGGTCAATTTACCTAAAGTTCGAAGCAGGCGCAAGATGCACCTAAGAAAACCAGAATTTCTGAAGGATTTGAAATTCCCTGATAAAATCTCAACTGAACTGCCGCTTGCTTCAATCCACGACGGAGAATCTTCTTTTAAGGTAAACCTTTTTCTGTTTCTTTCAGCTCCCCAAAGGTCTAGTCGAGCAACTGTATTACCCTGTTTGTATTATGTCACACAGGAAAAACTTTCCAGTTGTTTGGAGAATCCTCATCTAAGGAGATGGTGTACTTATGAGTGGTTCTACAGTGCCATTGATTATCCTTGGTTCGCTAAGAGGGAGTTTGTTGAATATTTATACCATGTTGGACTTGGTCACATGCCAAGATTGACTCGTGTTGAGTGGGGTGTCATAAGAAGGTATGCTTATTTAATTGAACAGCTTTATCTTTTTTATTATTTATTATTTTATTTTATTTTTAAATGTTGATCATAATATGCATGGTGTAAGTAATCATGTTAACCGCGCATGAGTATTTTTAACTTTCTTGCAGTTCTCTTGGTAAGCCTCGGCGATTTTCAGAGCAGTTCCTGAGGGAGGAAAAACAAAAGCTTAATCAGTACCGATTTTCTGTTCGAAAACACTACAGTGAGCTTCGTGATGGTGTTCGGGAAGGATTGCCAACCGACCTTGCAAGGCCTTTATCAGTTGGACAGCGTGTCATTGCCATCCATCCAAAGACAAGGGAACTTCATGATGGAAGTGTGCTTACTGTTGATCACTCTAGATGTCGGGTTCAATTTCACCGTCGTGAACTAGGGGTTGAATTTGTCATGGTATCTTCTTCATTTCATTTTATCAATTTTATAATCTTTCAAATTCTCGACATTGCTTTCCATTATATTGCTTCTTCTGCGTTTGACTGTAATCCTACTGCTATTATATAAGCACAGTGGAAATAAGTTCCATGTACTTACTTTTCATTGCTGGCGAATATTTTTTTTTAATTAATTCTGCCAATATGATCTAGCTTTAGGTTAAATTCTCAGCTCATGGGGCGTGACCATGCAAATTAAAAGATGCATTTCCTCTTCCTCCCAAAATTCATTTCTTGCTTTCCAGAGTGCATCTGAAATGCCTTGTTTCATCTTTGATGTGGGATGATGGTCTTTTTGCTAGTATCTGCCTGAGTATTTGCTAATATTTTTGGATTTGTTTGTGCCTTCCACATGTTTTATATGCGTTTGCAGTTTTCTGCAAATTCTGCAGATGTTTTCATCTACTGTACTGTATGTCGCCATTTTATCCAATTTCTTTTCTCATTTGGTTTGCGATGCTTTGCCTTGACAGGATATTGACTGCATGCCATTGAATCCTTATGAGAATATGCCAGCATTGCTTGGGAGACAGAGCATTGCTGTTGATAACTTTTTTGAAAATCTCAGTGGAATGGAAGTGAATGAGCGACCACCAGAATTCATGAAGCTTGGACCTGGTGATAATGTGGTTAACAATAATGTTATTTCACAATTAGGGCCTGCAGGTTTCTTGAAGCACACAAAGGCAAGTAGATCTGCCTAAACTCATGCTATTTTTCCAATTTATTCTTGTACAGAATTTATGAATTTTTTTACGATCATTCTTAAATGAACTCGTGCCTTGATTTTATTGTTCAATATTCTAGAGTAATGAGATTATTACAATTTTTGCGGCCTGATTGCATTGTATTAGAACAAAACGATTACCCTTGAAGTTGGTTTTATTTCAAAAGAACGCCTAATTATCTTTGAAGATCTGTGGATGTCATTTCCTTTAGCAAATATCAAGGGTGCAATCATCAAGATAGAATCAAAATATCAAGGGATGGTTTGTAGTTTTAAAAAAGACAGCTAGGAGACGGGCACTTGTTTTTTTTTACACAACTTTTAGATTTATTACAACAAGTGAGTATCTCAAAGCCTGATTCCATTTACCAGGTGGCTTCTGCAAATGCTAATTCGCAGTCGAAGAATGTGTCTGAAACTTCCAGTTACCAACAAACATCATATTTTCAAATCCATGCAAAGGAAGCTGATGTTCGAGCTCTGACCGAGCTGACTCGTGCTCTCGATAGAAAGGTTATCACCTCTCACCAGCTAATTTTTCAGAGAAGATCCTTTGCTTCTCTGTAGTGTCAGTTCATGCTTTGGTTTCTACCTCAATTTCTTACATATGGTGTGAAGATTAGAAGCGGAGTTTTTTGTTTCTCATTTTCTGTACTAAATATGAATTCAGGATGCTGTTGTTATGGAGTTAAGGCATCTGAATGATGATGTGTTTGAAAATCAAAAGAATGGCGATAGCTCTTTGAAAGAGTCCGAGCCATTTAAAAAGCATTATGCGGCGGTACTCATACAACTGAACGAAGCCAATGATCAGGTTTTTTTTTTTTTTTTT